GGACCCTCTAAACTGAGCTAAGACATATCTTTCCTTCTTTAAAAGTCAAATGAAACAAGAAAGTAGAAAAGTATCTCCAGGATCTCTTTTGTAAAGGAATTAATCCTACTTTGAGATTTTCTAGCTTGATCTAGTCACTTCTCAAAGGCCCCATCATATAATGCTGCTACCTTGGGGATTAGTCTCCAACCTCTGAATTTGGGGAAGACACCCAGCCAGCAGCAACACTAAGGAAAAATGAGGTTATAAACCGGGCATGTAATCCCAGCACCTGGGTGGGAAAGGCAGGAGGATCAGGAGTTCAGTGCCACCTCTGGCTGCACAGTGAATTTAAGGTAAGCCTGGGTACAGGTCTAGGGGCTCGGAGGATATAAATATGAGAACCCAGAAAGAGAAGGTGTGGCATGCAGTGTTGCTGTATGGTGAGCAGCAGTTTGAAGGGACCAGAGACAGGAAGTGTGGCAGTTTGGAGCAGCTAGACGGAGAGAAATGTTTCGGGAGGAGCGGTTTGGAGGAGCCTCTGACTGGTGTTTGCTGTCAACAGAGACTGGTATAGCGCCCTAGAAGAACCCCTTGACCCTAAAGAGCCGGAAGAAATAAAGGTGCCCTCTCTCCCCACTAACCTTCTCTCTCCTACATAGAGTTGGGAGGTTGCAAGAGCCTAAGCACCCCAAATAAAGTAAAAATTTAAAAACAAGTGCTACAATTTTGGCTCAGAGCTTTGGAGGTTTCAGACTATTGAGCTGGATCTTGGTTTGGGCCTTTAGCAAGAGGGTGTATATATTGGTTGAGGGGTGAGTGTACTCATATCATAATATGAGTTGGGGGTGAGAGAAAGGATGGTAGAGTAGTGTGGAAGTTGGAGAGAAATGTCCCCCACAGGCTCATATATTTGAACACTTGGTCCCCAGCTGGAGGCATGGTTGGGGGGCCTTTTAGAGGAAGTCCATCACTTGGGTGGGCTTTGAAAGGGTTTATGGCCTTGTTCTACTTCCTGTTCTCTCTTTTGCTTCCTTCCTATGTGTGAAAGTTCAATCAGCCTGCTTCCTGCTCCTGCTCATATGCCATCACTTCCTGCCATAATATACTCTCTGGAACTGTAAGCCAAAGTACACTCAAGTTCTTTTGGTCATGGTGTTCCATCATTGCAATAGAAGAATAACTAAAACAAGGGTCAATTCTGCCTTCAAGGGCATAACTGCCTTAACTTCCTTTAGCCCTCTTCCAGCTTCCACCTCCTCCACATAGTGCCACACATGCATGAACAAACTCCTAACACATGTCCACTTGGGAGACATGCAAAGCCCAAGCTATAGTAAAATTTCTCTTCATTTTTACATTATCTTTATCTACAGAGTTACTGAGATCTGCTGTCCAACAGCGTATGTTCTAATTGTGCATTAGAATGTCAAAGTACCAGTTGAGTAAACTCTCTTGGTTCTATCAGCACACCCAAGCCTAGGGTACTTTCCCTTAAAACAACTACTTATGAATTCCTCTAGCAATGATGCTCAGTGAACATAACACCCTGTGCCAGTCTCTTAACTCATAGGAAGCTTTCAACCTGGAAAAGGAGTGTCCTTACTTCTATTCTCTCCAGCTTCCCTTCCCTTCTGCTAGGACTTTTCTTAGACTGGATTCCTCTTGTTTCTTCCCTTTCCTAAAATACTATTGTTATTTCTGTTTTGGTTTTTTAACTTTATTCACCTTTATCTTATCTGCATTGGTGTTTTGCCTGCATGTAAGTCTATGTGAGGCATCAGATCTTGGAGTTACAGACAGTTGTGAGTTGCCATGTGGGTGCTAAGATTTGAACCTGGGTCCTCTGAAAGAGCAGTCAGTGCCCTAAACCGCTGAGCCATCTCTCCAGCCCCTTTGGGTTTTTGTTTGTTTGTTTTGTTTTGTTTTGTTTTGTTTTGTTTTGAGACAGGGTCTCTATATGTAGCCCTGGCTGTCCTGGAACTCACTATGTAGATCAAGCTGATCTCAAACTCACAGAGATCCTCCTGCCTCTGCCTCCTGAAGTGCTGGGATTAAAGGTGTGTCACTATGTTCCCAGCCTCTAAATTATTTTAAATAAAACTGACTACAGTGGTTTTTGTTTTTGTTTTGAATGAATGTTCTCTTCCTCACAGGTAAGAATACAAATGGTAGTGGAGAACTCCCCCTTTCAATGGACTAGGGGAAGGGGATAAGGAGAAGAGGGAGAAAGGGAGGGACTGGGAGAGTTTACAGAGGGGGTTTCAATCAGTATATATAGTGAATAAATGGTGAAGAAAAAAATTTTAAAAATAAAAAATAATACAAAAGGAAATGATGGTAAGATTTCTAATTAAACAATGGAAAAGAACTGGAGAATCAAAGAAGGAAAAACAACACACAAAAAAGCACACACAAACACATGCACCTGTAGATACATGAACATGCACACACAAATTAACATAAATGTTTAGATTCTATACTGTAGTTCATACTAATTAAATCATCTAAGTATGGTCACAAAGTAACAACATTTTATCATCGTGATCAAAATCAAAGTCCTTATGTGCAGACAAAAGACACAAAGGCACAGTTCTGCAGTAAAGTACTTGCCCAGCGTGGGTGAAGCTCTGGGCTGCATCCCAGAACCAAAACCAGGGTGAGCATGGGGGCATAACCACAAGTTTGGAAAACATTCTAAACCGTGAAAATATTCACTTTTCATGGGGATACATCTGGCACCACTGATAGGAGTGTAAACTGAATAACCACTTTGGAAATAATCTAGAACGAACTGCTATGGCTGAACATGCTACTACCCTATAACCCTGAAATGCCACTGCCAAATTTAGACTAGAATCTTGGACATTTTGCAATAAGAGATATTTAAGAGGAAGTTCATGGTAATAATACTCCTTAAAACAGCAGAACTTTCATTATCTAACTATTCATAAACAGAAGAAATTTTTAAAAAATGAACTACATAGAAAAGACCAGACTATAAGTCATAAAAATAAATGAGCTAAGACACTTTTGAGATAAATCCAAAAGGAAAGAAACCATATGGAAAATATTTCGTTTAGTCAAGCATGGGGGCTGCACGCCTTTTTTTTTTGTGGGGGGGGGTAGTTTCCAGAGAGTGTTTCTCTGTGTAGCCTTGGCTGTCCTAGATTTGTAGCCCAGGCTATTCTCGAACTTACAGAGATCCACCTGCCTCTGCCTCTCAGAGTGCTGGGATTACAGGTGTGTACCACTGTGCTTGGCTCTGGTGGTGCACGCCTGTAATACCAGCACTGGGGGAGGCAGGGGCAGTTGGATCTCTACAGAGTGAGTTCCAGGGCAGCCAGGGCTACACAGAGAAACCATGTCTTGAAAAAATTGAAGAAAAAAAAAAAAGTATGTGGCCATGCAGAAGACCCAGGTTCTGTTCCCAGCATCCACATGGTGGCTCACAACCATCCAGAGGATCCAATGCCCTCTTCTGACCTCCACACACTTGCACATGATACACACACACACACACACACACATACACACACACAGGCAAAACACTAATACACACAAAGTAAAAAGAGTGCACACTGCTCTTGAATGGACCCAAGTTAAGTTCCCAGTACCCAAGTCAGGCAGCTCCTATAACTACAGCTCCAGAAAGTTAAACCCATACTCCAACACAGACACATATACATAATAAAAGAGAAGTCAATATCAAAACTATGTACTAGCCAGGCATAGTGGCTCACGCCTTTAATACTGAGAGGCAGATCTGTGTGCCGGGACAGCAATGGCTACGTACTGAGACAATGCCTGGTGGGGGAGAAGACATACTATATGTATATGATTGCACCTATATGACATTCCAGAAAAGGAAAAAACAGTCGAAATGACGAAAAGCAAAAGACCAATGGGTGAGGGGTTGGCGGAGAGGAAAGAACAGGCAAAACACAGGATTTTTAGAACAGTGAATTTATGTGGCAGTATGCGATGGATCCTGTCATTATCTTCCCAAACCCACAGAATGTTGGTCACCAAGACTGAACTCTAAACTATGGACTTTGGTGCCAACCTGGGCTCATTCAGTGTAACAGAAACCAGTCTGGTGGGAAATGCCGGTAAGGCACAAGTCTGAAGGTGAGAAGCAAGCGAGTAAACGGGGACAATCTCCCCGTTTGCCTTTCAACTATACGGTGAACCTAAAAAACTGTTCTTAAAAATTGAAGTTTTTAACTTAGGAGCACACAGAAATACTTTAAGCAGTCAAACCCTCCAACTGCTGAGAAGTCCCTGGCTTGTCTCGAAACTTAGCCCTTTCTAAAGATGCAGCCATCGCAAAGACGGTCGGGTAACTTTACACTGTAGCACGGACACCTGTTCCAGGGTGCGGGGCAAAAGGGCAGCAGCGGGAACAGCAGCAGCAGCAGCAGCAGCAGCAAAATGGCTAGAGAGGGTCTGAGCAACCAAGCTCGAGCCCCTGGGCAGGGAGTTTAACCCAGGGCGCTACAACGCGCTCCCTAAACGCCGTGAAGGCCGTCTGGCGTGGATTCATTCCATTCCCGGACGGATACACAAGGCCCCAGCTCTCCTCACCCGGAGAAAGCCCCGGTTGCCCACGGAGTCGGGGTGGGAGGTGACAGCTCCGTCCCCGAAACCAAGTGACGGCCAAAGACAAGGGTTCAACAAACGCCTCTTCTCCTTCACGCGACGCTCAAGTCCATTTCCCGAGCGGGCAGCAGGCCAAACCCTCCCTTGCGACGCACCCCCGCCGCTCGCCCGCCCCGGGGTGTAGCCGCCTCCCGGCGACCCCCTCGGCCGGCCGGAAACAGCGGCGAGCCTCTTCAGGGTCAGACCGGGGGGACGCGCCCCCTGACCCCCGCGAGCCGCGCCCGCGGGTCCACGGCCGCTCAGCTCCGGGTCGTCCCCCGGCCTCCGGGCCAGCGCCCCCCAAGCCCCAGCCAGGGCAGTCCGGCCCGGCCCGCTAGGCCCGGCCCCAGGCCCGAAGCCTCCGCCGCCCCTCTCCTCACCGTGTCGACCCCTGAGCCGTCTTCCCTGGTGTCCTCGGTCTCCTCGCCGACCGCGGCTTCCAGCACGGCGCCAGGGCCGCCCAGCGGCTCCACGGGTGCAGGCTGCAGCAGCTTGTCGGGGTCCGGAGGTGCCTGCTCCATAGCTGCAGCCCAGCACCGCGAGTCCAGTGCGCCTGCGCCACGCCTGGGCCGCGGCCGCCCCGCCCCCTCCGCGCCGTAGCCCCGCCCTTCGCCCTCGGCGGTCCCGCCCCCTGCCTCCAGAAGCTCCTCCCAGGCAGCGGAGATCCCGGAGACTGGACAGCACCCAGAACCCGGGATGGAGTTGTGTAGGGGACAGCGGGGGTGGGGGTGGGGCCACTCTGGTCAGCTACAAAACTGGAAATCAGGGAGAACCGGTGGAGACATAAAGAAAAGAAGGTCAGGCGAACTCAAGAACTAAGTGCAGAAATCATTTAGGTTGGGGGTCCCCTCAAGTAAACACGTCATTCAAAAGACAGGCAGAGTTGCCTCCTTTCGTTTCCCCACGCACAATGCCGGAGCAGCGTCGATGATTAACCTTCAGGGAGTTGAGTAACACGCTCAGCAGAAGCTGACGCTTGAGGGTTCGAGGGAGGCAGAAACTGGCCGAAGCAGGGAGGAGAGCCCTAAGTGTTTACACTTCAGGCGCTGAGGCGCTGGAGAGCTGGTTATTTTCTACAGAAGTCTCTTGCAATTTCCTGAACCTACTGCTTGGCAAGATTCGCTGTGGTGACCCGAAGGAAAATGCTTACCGGCTGTAGCCAAACCATGGGACCTTCCCGTAGGCATCTTTTGAACAAAATCTGGTCTTAGTTTTTTAAGGACCAGAACTGATCTTTCTGCCCAGGCAGCCTTTTCAAGTTGTGAAACATAATTTCTTCCTCCTGGAATTTTCTCCCTGGGTTGGTGGCAAATTCCATTCGTACTCACAGCCTTTCTCATGTGACTTTAGAGTAATATGTTTTCAACTCCATCTCCCCCAGCTAGACTTTGGGCTCTTTTAAGGCAGGGACCCCTGTGCTTATTCTCTCCCCCTTCCTCCCTTCATAAAGCCTAGGATATTTATGTTTGAAAGTATTTTATTGTTTACCAGGAATTAGTTAGACCAGGCAAAGTCCCAGAAAACATCTTTTTAAATCAGAAGACTATTTTACTAATCACAGGACGGACAGATTTATTCTCATTATCTTGTGCTCTTGTCTCAGTAGGATGCTTGCTGTGAGCTGCCCAGTAAGTGGGAACAAGGAAATGAAACCTGGCTTTTTGAGGCCTGAAGCAGACGATGGCACTATCTATGGCTTCGTTTTATTTAAAAATAAAAACTAGCCTGGTGGTTGTGGTGGCACACTCTTTTTTTAATCCCAGCACGTGGGAGGCAGAGGCAAGTGACTCTCTGAGTAGAGGCCTGCCTGATCTACACAGAGAGACCCTGTCCCAAAAATAAATAAACTAGTTGGGCGGTGGAGGCACATGCCTTTAATCCCAGCATTTGGACACTGCATGTACGTGATACACGTAGACACTTTTAGACCTGGCCCGGGGAACATCTTAGCTAAATCAGAAGGCAACTCATAATTAAGTCTGTTTCTACCTGTTCTTCCTAACGGCTGTGGGATTCTATAATAAAAAGTTACTAGAATTTAGAGGGGCTTGACGGCTCCCAGCATTTTCTTCTGGCCCAGAGAGCTATTTGCTTGGAATCTGCTGAATTAATGAATCAGTATGTAGGTGGGTGAGGGCATCAGAAGAAACGCGTACCCAAATAATCACAAGCCTCAGCTTCCCTTCATTAAAGCCAGCTAGGCAAGAGAGCCAGCCTCCTAGCTTCCTGCCTCCAGCCGTGTTACCGTTCATGGTGCCACCCAGCCATGTATGTAGACGTCAGAAGACCTCTTCCAGGAATGTATTCTCACCTTCCATTGCGCAGGCTTCAGAGATCGAATTCAGGTCATCAGGCTTAGCATCAAGTGCCTTAACCCCTGAGCCATCTCACCTGCCCAAAGTTGGTGATTTTAAAGATCACCGAACACAAATTACTAAAAGCCAGTGAAGCTAGAGAGGCCGTTGCTATTTCCCCTGCTTTCATCATCTATCCAAGAGTTAAGCCACCTTGGCCTCTACCCCTTGGTCTGACAACAGAGCTCTGAGTCAGCTGATTAACTATAGGAACCACAAACCTCAGCCTCAAGGGAATGGGGGTGAAGGGTGGGTTGTTTGTGTGTGTGTGTGTGTGCTCAAGAACATGTATGTTTCTTTCTGTGAATAAATTAACCCCTTGGGGCAAGCATGTCCTTTTCTATTAGGGCAGGAGGCTGAGGTCTGGCTAATGAGTGAGCTGAGTTTCAGTAACCAGCTAGCTGCCTGTGACTGTAAGAGTACCAAATAGTCCCAAAAGTGGATAGGGAACTCGAAACAGTACCACGTCCAGGCCAGGAGATGACACAGACGCAGCAGTGTGTCCTAGTTCCAAAGTAAAGGAGACAGGAAGCAGGGGCTCACAGGGGTAGGAAGATGAAGACTTTGGCTTGAGATTTCTGGGGAAGGAAAGAGAAGTATGGAATACGGAGGACTGAGATTACCTGGCTGAGAAAATTGTCAAAGTCCTTCCTTCCTTCCTTTCTTTTTTTTCATATCTTCCTCCACGCAGGGATTCACTGTGTAACCCAGGCTGGCCTCAGACTGTTGGACGCCTTCCTCTACCACTGAGTGCTGAGAAAACAGAGGGTCACCACCACCCCTGGGTAGAGTCTTTCTACCAGCAGAGCATGGTGGCAAAAGCCTTTAATCCCAGCACTCAGGGAGGCAGAGGCAGGTGGATCTCTGTGAGTTCAAAGCCAGCCTGGTCTACAAATTGAGTCCAGGAACTGCCAAGGCCACACAGAGAAACCCCGTCTTAGAAAAAAAAAAAAAAAAAAAATCTACCTAGAAGTACATTCTCCTGAAAACAGCACACCTTATTCAGAGAAAGGCTTCCCGGAAGGGAAGGAACCCTCCCTTAGTCTAGAGGAGGTGATTCAGGCTGGAAGCAGTCATTTTACAAACGTCAGAGTGGGTTTGGATTTTACCCCATTGGAAACCAAGATCCGGTGAGAGGGTCGGAAATCCAGCCTCTGCTCTGATTCCCTCGCAGCCCTGGACGCAGCGAGGAAAAGGAGGCAACTCTGGCGAGGACCGTGTCTCGCGTCTTTACCGCCCACCGCATGCATGCGTGTAGACGTGTATGAAATGGAATCCAGGGGAGGCTCCGGGGCTCCGGGCACAGCACACTGGTGCTGCTAGAGAAGTGACACAAGGGTGAGCCCACACGGAAGCTGTCACTTGTCACTTCTGTGGGAGGGTCCCCTGCAGGCTGTACAGCAGAGGAAGGTCATCAGGGTGCGCTAGGAAGAAACTCGGATCAACGTTAAACCTGAGACTCCCGGGAGAAAGACCAGTTCCACAATTTCTGAGCCAAATCTAAAGCAAGCTTCGGTTAAAGACTGGCCAGGACGATGGACTCTCGCCAGGTCTGTTCTGGGGTTCTCAGAAAAGAGCAACAATTCACATTTTTCAGAGACTTGTAAACCCATATAGCTTCCATATTTCCCGTCACAACCAATCAGGGGCAAGCACATATCCTGAGGTACTTCTTGCCCGAGTACCTCATGTGTAAGGACACCCAGGGAAGTTGGGTCCAACAAATTAGTTTAGGAGAGTGAAAACAAGCGATTTGTTCTCTTTTATAAACAACAGCCTCTAGCATTTAAGGAAGTAACTGTCCTTAGGCAAGGGACTTACAAGTTGCTTTTTTTTTTTTGTTTTGTTTTGTTTTTTTTTTTGTTTGTTTCATGGACATCTTAGGCACAGTAATTAAAACTTAAGACGTAACTTTGGCTCTCACATCAGCGTGATTTTGGTGACCAGATCATTTTACCTTAGCCGTGTTCAAGAACAGCACAAGTTTGGAGAGAAGTTTTCTGATCACAATTAACTCATCCCAAGTGCACAACAGCTTTAAGGCAGGTTTCCACTGAGAGCCTTTCCTAAGCACATCCGGCTGCTTTCACAATAGGTGCTGCTGGCTCAGAGATAGTGCCCAAGATTTGGGACCTGGGGAGACTACAACAAATGATTACCTGTAGGGGTCAGGTTTGGGCTGGCCCTAACATAACATAGACGTCACTTAGGCTGTGGTAAAGTACAAATGACATCTCTTACAAGGATGAGTTCTATTGCCTAGAAGTAATGCTCAAGGCTTTAGAGGAAAAAGGTCTGGGACAGCTCGGCATGGCGACACATGCCTTTAATCCCAGCACTAGGGAAGCAGAGACAGGTGGATCTCTGCGTTCAAGGCTAGCCTGATCTACACAGCGGGTTCCAGGACAGTCAAGGCTACACATAGAAACCCTATCTCGAAAAACCAAAAAGGTCTGGAATAAACAAATTCTGGACAACAGGGGCTAAGGCCTGGCTTGAAAGGTAGCAGAGAGTCACCAGGTTGTAAACTACATTCATTCCCGGCAGCATTCCAAAAGGAACAGCTAAAGCATCTCATTCCATTGAAGAGATAAGCTGTGTACCTAAATTTCCTGCCTTCTCCAGTGCTTCTCTGTGTACACAAAACCCTTTCTGCCCTCTACAACTTCTGTGCCTGGAGTTTTTCCAGGAGAAAATGAATTCAAGTGCCGCTGGACAGCTTTTCTTATTCTTGCTTTGTACAGGACAGGGGGGTGCAGCCAGGGCCTATGTACATTTGAGGCAAGTGTTTCCCTGGGCTGTAAAATAGTTGGTGGGAAAGCACTTGCCTTGAATGTGCAAGGGCCTAGACTTGATTCCCGGTACTGAAAAAAAAAAAAAAAATCCTTCAAATACTTTTCCCTCAAATGAGGAAAGTGGTCCTGTGAAGTAGGTATAGTGACCAGGAGGGAAGAAAGCTCTGTCTGTCTGTCTCTCTCATGCACACACACACATTTGTTCTTCTTGGTGGTTGCTATTTTTGTTTGTTTCTTGAGACAGAGAACCATGTAGCAGAGGATGACTTTGAACTCCTTCCCATTCCTCCTGCCTCCACCTTACAACTTCACTTCCCTTCTCTTTTAAATTCTAATTAAACTTTCAGAAAATGAATGCACGTGCCTGGGACAGAGTGCTGGGATTAAAGGCATGCACCACCACTACACACCAGAAGAGGGCATCAGATCTCATTATAGATGGTTGTGAGCCGCCATGTAGTTGCTGGGACTTGAACTCAGGACCTCCGGGAGAGCAGCCAGTGGCTCTTAACCTCTGAGCCATCTCTCCAGCTGCCAAATTGTACTTCTCTTAAAAAAAGATTTACTTACACACATATGTATGTGTGTGTGTGTATATCGCTGCGAAGCGACACCATGACCATGGCAACTCTAATAAAAGAAAGCATTTAATCGGGGCTGGCTTACAGTTCCAGAGGTCCATATCATCATGGCAGGGAGCATGGTGGGACGCAGGCAGAAATGGTGCTGGAGAAGGAGCTGAAAGCTACCACCTATGATGACCAAGAGAGAGACTTGGCATGGGTTTTTGGAACCTCAAAGTCCAACCCCAGTGACACACTTCCTTCAACAAGGCCACGACTCCCAATCCTTCCAAACAGTGTCGCCTCCTGATGACCAAGCATTCAAATAAATCTATGAGTGGGGGGGGAGGGGGGAGGAGCATTCTCATTCACACCACCACAGGGTAGGTGTGCAGGTGTGTGCAGGTGTCCACTCTCGTGCAGAGGCCAGCAAAGGGCAGTGGTGACCTCCTCTATCACTCTGCTTCCTCCTGGGAGGCAGGATATCTCCTTGGATCTGGGACTTGGGTTTTTCCCTCAGCCAAGCTGGAAGCCAGTAATCCTTAGAGACCCTCTTACCTCCAGTGTCCTCAGAGCTGCGGTTACAGCTGTGAACAGGATGCCCGGCTTCTTACATGAGTGTTAGGATCTATACTCCAGTCCTCATGATGGCACAAGTACTCATAACACTAAGCCATTTCTCCAGCCCCAACAAACTGTACTTCCATATAGTAGACACAAATACTTTGAAAGTGAAAGAAATTTAAATGTCATTCATAAATGATATAAAAAGAGAACATGGGGTCAGTTTGGACTGAAAATGTATTGAAGATATATACTAAAAAATTATAGAATATTGAGCAGAAAAAATTAAAGACTGAGCCACACCTTTAATTCCAGCTCTCAGGAGGCAGAGGCAGAGGCAGACAAGATCTCTGAGTTTGAGGTCAGCCTGGTCTACAGAGAGAGTTCCAGGAGAGACAGGGCTAAACAGAAAAACAATGTCTTGAAAAAAAAAAAAGACAAAAAAATAAAGACTGAAATAAGTGATATATTGTTATTTGTGTATATTGCTTAGAAGACAATACTGGTAAAGTGTCATTCTTCCTAAATTAACCTGTTCATTTAATGAAACAGTACCAGAATCCTAGTCTGTAATGGCATGGGCTGGTGCTTTGTATTTGACTGATACTTATTTCCCCCCCCCCCCCGAGTTCTCTTTGCTATCTTCTGTCTTCAGACACTCACACGCCCCAAAATGACGTCTGTAATCCTTGCCTCCAAAATATCCCTGATTGACTGAATGCATGCCTACACACCTGGGCAGAGCAGAAGTTAGGGAGGCATGGCCAAGGTTCCGGTGCTTGGAGGAGTAGAGGATCATGGGAAGGAGGAGGAAGAAACAAGTAGGGGAGGAGAAGGACGTCTCCCTGGGGTGGGCTGTAGAGAAGCACATGGCAGGGTCAATGCGGATGGAGGAAGGCAGTCCAGATGAGGAACGTGTGCAAGTATTTGTGGATTACGGGTGGGAAGTAGCCCAGACTGGCATGATTAGAACAGCTGCCACAGGACACGGGACTGGGAGATAAAGGTAGTTTAGGAGGTTTATGTCTGCCCCTGCCCCAGCCTAAGCTAAAATCTATCTGATGTCTGTGTCATTTGTTGATTATGGCAGCAGTTAATAAAACAGTTAAATAAATAAATAAATTAAAAAGCAGTTAAATAAAACCACCTTGATAATTATAGGCTTTTGATTAATAAGCATGCCCTCTCTTGGCCTCCACAGGCACTGTACTCGTGTTGACACGACACACACAATTTTTAAAAAATCAAAATTTCTAAAAACATATGCATACTTACTGATTCTAGAAACATATGTAAAGGCAATTCAATAAAGAAAGATGATATTAAACTGGAAGCCAGCGCTGTGAAAACACTGAACTAGACCACTCTGTAGAAAAAAAAAAAAAAAGTTTATTTAGGGAACAAGCTGCCAGGCTGTTTCACGGAACAGAGAGCAGCAGCTTGGCAGGAAAGCGAGAGCAGATTTGATATGACAGTCAGCAGGGTCGGGGGCTTTGAGCTGATGCAGGCTGTTCCGGTTGATTTGGAACTATATGCTGGAGAAGGGAAGTAGCAGCTTCCCTCAAACAGAAACTTGCATCCCAGGCTTTCTGAGGAATGCTGAGTTTAGCTTTCTGTGTTTACTGGTACTAATGAATCCAGGGTGGGCCCGGGCTGCCATCTTAGGACACTGTATTTAGGGAGCCTACTTTGTGACCTGACATAAATAAACAGTGATAGAAAAATTAAGAATTCACATGCAAAACTAAAAACAACAATCTTGTGATAATATAGGCCTGTAATCCCTGGATGGAGAAACAGAGTCAGGGAAATCACCACACGATTGAGAACAGCCTGGTCTACATAGCAAACTCAAGGCTAGCCTGACACATCAGGAGGTGGTGACACACACCTTTGATCCCAACACTTAGGAGGCAGAGGCAGGCGCAGATCCCTGAGTTCAAGGGCAGCCTGGTTTTCAGAATGTGACCCTGACTCTAAAATCTCTTCAAAAAAATTTGTTTTGATACATGCTTTACACCATGTTAGAGAATACAGTTGGTATAGGAAGATGACCGAGTAGGGCTAAAGAAGAGAAGACAGTTGGTGCAGAAAAGAGATTAAGCAGAATGGAAACAGAAGAGAGCTGAAAGTGAACTGGCCTAGCAGAGTGAGAAGACAAGTGATGACAGCTGAGCCAGAAGCTGAGCTGAGCAGGCTGGAACGAGTTGGAAGCTGCCAGTATTGGAAAACCTGGGAGAAATGACTGGTTAAGCACGATGCTGGGGAGCTGGGGGGAGAGCAGTTGGGAGAAACCTTTGAAGCGGATGAGCTGGAAACTGGGAGGAGGGCTGGCTGGGAGTTAAGAGAACTGGCTGCAGTGTCTAAGAAAAGGAGACCTTAAAAGAAACTGTTAGGAGACAGAAAAAACCACAAAGTAGCAAAAAATCAAAGCTACAACTGGTGCCCAGTATGGGGCTTGAACCCTGAAATTAAGAGTGTCATGGCTAGCACCTGAGCTTACACCTAAGGAAGAATATGAAAACACAGTACAGCAAGTGTTCCTCTACATTTAGAGGAAAATGGACCCCGCAGCTCACACGGAGCGGCGCTGTTAGGAGGGGTGGCTTGCTGAACTACGTGTGGTTTTGCTGGAGGAAGTGGTCACTGTAGTGTGATTCATTCTTTTCCTGCTGCCTCTGGATCCTGATGCAGAAATCTCAGCTCCTTCTCCAGCACCGTGTCTGCCTGCATGCTGCCATGCTTTCTACCATGATGACAATGGAGTAAACCTCTGAAATTGTAACCCAGCCCCAGCTAAATGTTTGCCTTTATAAAAGTTGCTGTGGTCATGGTGTCTCTTCACAGCAATGGATACCCTAACTAAGACAGTAAGATAAAACAAAACAAAAAAAGTATCATAATAGGATTTGAAAAGGCACAAGAAACACATATAGACACAGAGACACACTTTTGTTCAAGAATCCCATAAAAACACAAAACAAAAGATGCCACTGAGTTTGCTTCGTGTTGGTCTGCCCCTAAGAGTGTTTGCTTCCCCAGTGAGACTCCCTGGAGAGAACAAATTTTCATTTGCAAGTGGCTATCATTTGGAGAGTTTTGGGTTGGCAGCGTGTATGTCACAAATACAAGCTATTTCTCTCCACTCATAAAGCAGACGACCACATTGCTCTTCTCCATTTTTATTATTTTTCAAATTTCTCAGCACATGAACTATAGCTCATTTAAAATTTTCTTCAGTGCACTTCACAGCAAAAATGAAAAGGGAATCATTTAAATGGTTGTACACAAATTCTTTTAATTTACAGTTTGCTGAAAAATCATTGTCACTGTTTTCATCCTATTAACCCTACTAAGAAAACAGTTTTTCAGAGCATAGATGCAGCCGCCTGGCGCGGCTGATGAGTGACAGGTGCGTGTTTGCACGCCGACTGGAAGACCACACGGGCAGGAGCAGGGTAAGGCACCACTCTGGGACAGTGAAGGTAGCTTGCAGCAACAAGTGTCAGCACCTCGAGGTGCTCAGCAAATACTTGGATAAATGAAAACCATAATTAGCACTATTCTGTTCATTGCCAGCAATTCTTCAACCCCAGTAAAACACCTGTTTAAAACAAACAAACAAACAAACAAACAAACCAATCTGTACCTGAATGCAAATTCCTGCTTATTTCATGGCCTTTCTTCAGCATTTAAATTTCCTTGAAAAGAAAATGAAACCATTCTTTGCGTGCACTCAGTCACATACATAATTGAATTACTGACAGACATGAACAGGTTTTAGTTTTAGCTTCTGTGTGAACAGAGGCCAGATAAAGCAAACTTACTCAGGATAGCACATAATACTGAAATTGAACCAACACATGAAAATAGGTAAGGAAAAAGTAACAGTTTTGTTTTTTAATATTTGCTATTTTTTAATGCCTTAGTTCTTGAGAAAGGCCAAAATCTAATTTTGACATGAACACAGTTTAAAAAATTGTCTCTTAAGTGTATATTTAATAAAACTAGGTATTGAAAAATGTTCTGAAATTTTTCAAGTCAATGTTGTTTTCAAGTATATTAAAATGCTCAGAAGAAAAAAAAATTCCTCCATGGTTACAATTCTAATTATAAATACACTTTTAAAAGAGAGTTCCACCAGAGCGAGCAATGGGCTTCCACAGACACAGGCACGGCCTCCGAAGGAAGAGGCCTTGCTACACAGCCCAGTGATGTGTGAACACTGACTTCAGGCACAGCGGCTGAATCCACTTGAAGGTCACGCTCGTCTCCCTCTTGGTTGGCTTCCGAGAGCAGAGCATACTTGTACGGGTCAGCAAAAGGTGACACGGGTACTGGAGGGTGGAAGGCGGTAAGATGGTATTGCTCACGGTGGGGAACAGGCTGCTGAGAGGCCCATCGTGTGTCCATAACGCTTTGGTCTTGCTGCAAGGTGATGGGCTCAAGTAGGTACATTCGTGTTCAGGCTGTACGATTAGGAGGCAGGTCACTCAGTGCAACAACTCTGTCTGAGAGGGCTTGGGGTGCACAGCGGAGAGCCTCATTTGGTCCAGTTTTAGAAAGCATGTGTCACTCTGCTGGTTGTGACAGAATTCCTTTCCAAAGGGGTTTGTGGTAAACCCAGCCTTCTCCCTGAAACAAGTAGAGAGAGAGGGAATTAAAGTGCCATCCTGCCAGCATCTCCAAACCAGAAACCCAACCAGGAGCGACAGCAAACTCGAGTTTCCTAGAGCCTCCGTGCTGGAGACCTCACACCAGGCCTGCAACTTAGGGGGATGTGGTTTGAATGTGAATTGTTTTCCATAGGTGGATGGTGTGTTTAGGAGGTAGTTGGGTTGCCGGATCCCGGAAGGATTTTGCCCAGCTCTGCTCTCTATTGACCTGACTGCCAAGGTGACATACCAGCCTTCTCAAGCTCCTCGAACCCCCACCTGAACAGGCTATAGGCTCTGAAGCGGAGGCCAGAATGAATCCTTCCTCCTTTACATAGGAGTACATAGGTCAGGTACTCTGTCAGAGGCAAGGGAAGTAACTGTGGGATGTGGAAATACATAGTTTGACTCTTAGACATGTAGTTTTGCAGAAGTCACTTGTAGCAATTTTGCCATTTGCCAAAATGTTGCAGAATGAGCCTTACAAATCATGGGCAGCAGGCAGAGCACAAGGAAGCCTTCATGAAGTAAAAGCCAAAGAAATGGATGCAGCAGCCAGAGCGGAAATATGGCAGTCAAGGTCAGGGTAATGGGGACTGCAGGCCAGTGTGCAAAGGGTTAGGCTTGAACTCTGTCTTTATTTCCCATGTCTCCTTTAATTTAGTCATAATTCAACTAAGCCAGTCAGGCTCCTTAGAGCTGCCTTGAGTAATTTTTGTTCTCGATAGGCCCTGTTTTAACAATGATTCCTAAGGACCAGTTTATGCAGATCTAAGTCAGCTCCTCTTCTTTCACCCAGCACTAACCAACCGCAGTCGTTCTCACCCGTTCTTTCACTCCACCTAGAAATTCATACTTGCTAACCTCAAGCTTGGAACTGAGATTACTCTCTGTCCTCAACTGCAACTGTGTTTAATGGGGTCTCCCTTCATGTCCTTAACAAAAGCAAGCACGGGGCTCTTCATTTTATGAGATCACCTGGTCTACAGACCCGAGCCCTGCTGTCCTTTGAGACAAATGTCGGCTAGCCCATTCTACAACGTCATCTTACTCTATAGACAAAGACAGAGGCTCTGAGCTCAGTGGGTGGCGCACACCTGTAACCCCAGCACTTGTAGGCTGAGGCAGGAGGGCTGAGTGTGAGCACAGCAGAAAGGAAATGGAGGCTGCGAGAAGTGAACATTTTCACAACAACATTTAGAAAGCATCTGTGACGTGCTAAGCTCTGTGGAGGACCACATGGGAGACACAGCAACTTGTCATAACCTAGGAATCTCGGCAGCAAGGAGGCATGCATTAGGACAGTGGCTCACACTCAGAACTCAGTGAGCACCCTCGGCCTTACTGGTACGTGCAGAGCTTCTCACATGTGACGGCACACATCACCATCAACACACACAGAACAAGGTGGAAATATCAGACATCTCTGCCCTGTCTGCTGTACTTGTGTCACTTGTGTCATGGCTGGCACATGCAAAGGGACCCAGATTTGAGCCTGCATTCCTAAGTTGAGATTCTACTGGCAGTTACCAAAGAACCTCTAGGCTGGAACAGACACATTATTTCATTAGACTTGTTATCATTGTTTTACCTGTCTACCATCACAGTTTGTAGGGACTTAAAAAGAAAAAAGAAAAAATACTACAAGGGGCTGGCAAGAGATTTAACAGTTAAGAGCACAGTTAATTGCTCCTGCAGAGGACTCCAGTTTGGTTCCCAGCACCCATATGGGTGGTTCACAACTATAGCTCCAGTTCAAGGAGCTTTGACACCCTCTTCTGGCTTCCTCAGGTGCTGGGCACACATATACACATGTAGATAAACACTATTACAACATAAAATAAATCTTAAATAGCCCCTATAGGTTCATTGGGAATGGCACTATTAGGAGGTGTGGCTTTGTTGGAGTAGATGGGGGGAGGTGTCTGTCACTGGGGGTGGATTTAAGGTTTCAGAAGCTCAAGCCCAGACTCAGCATCACTCTCTTCCTGCTGCCTTCAGATCCAGATGTAGAACTTTGGCCAGCACCATGTCTGCCTGCATGCCACCATGCTTCCTGACAGGATGATAATGGACTAAACCTCTGAACCTGTAAGCCAGCCCTAATAAATGTTTTGCCTTTAAAAGAGTTGCTGTGGTCATTGTGTCTCTTCACAGCAATAAAACCCAAGACACATGCCATGTCAGTAGCATGACTGTCAGGGTCATGATGGTTTATGCTTTAAGCCAAGCACTTGGGAGGCCGAGGCAAAGGCAAGGAGATCTCTTAGTTTCTAGGCTAGCCTGGTTGACATAGAGAGTTCCTGCTAGAGTTGGGGGTTGGCCTGGTGTTATGTATCTAATTGTTAATTACTGGCCCCCAAGATCTTGTTCCTGCTCAGAAGAGCACATTCTCATGTAAACTTATCCCTGCTGTGTACACCTATTCTTGTTGTGTAAACATGCCTAGTCATTACATCTGACTGGTTGATTAAACAGCCTAAACCTGGGCAGGGCAGAATGGGGTAGGCGTGGCTAAGGTTCCCAGGCTTTTGGGTTGAAGAGAGAATCAAAGGAAAGAGACAGACGGGAAGAGAGGAGGAAGGAGGATGCCATGATGGGTTAGTGTGGAAAAGGAACCACGTGGGCTGGGAGAAAGGACTCCAATAATGGCAGGAAAAGGCCCAGAGGAAGAATTCAATCAAGTGCCATGGGATTATGTATGGAAGGGAGACCAGATGAGAAGATTAAGGCAGATGGCATTGGATGAGGGCTGGGAGGTAGATGATAAAGTTAGTGAGACAGTGTAAGTGGAATATCTGCCTGGCCTGAGGCAAATAAGGCAATTATAAACTCAGGTGTCTGTGTCTTATTATTTGTGACAGCGGGCTAGATAATACCACTGTGATCTTCTTAGGGCTAATAATAAACTTTATATAGCCCAACAGGTTTTTGTTTTTTTGTTTTTTTTTTTTAAATTATTAATTACAACAAGAAGCTAGTGATACAAAGTAAAACCCTGTCTCAAAAAAGAAAAAAAAAAAAAAAAAAAAAAAAAAAGGAAGAAAGGAAGAATGTATGAATCAGGGCTACCCTTTAAATTTAGTTAACGGCATGTTTTACAAGCAGCTCCCTGTTTAGCCCAGAGCCAGTTTTTAACAATAGATAGATCTCAATAGATATATTTGTTTCTCCTATTTCTTTTCCTTTTCTTTCTTTTTTTTTTTTTTTTGAGACAGGGTTTCTCTGCATAGCCCTGGCTGTCCTGGAACTCACTCGGTAGACCAGGCTGGCCTCACACCCAGAGATTCACCTGCCTCTGCCATCTGAGTGCTGGGATTAAAGGTGTGTTCCCTTACACCTATTTCTTTAACCCAAGGTAACCTGGGTATAATTCTGAATGGCAATTCTAAATGTTCATTTGTTATACAAAGATACAGGGTAGAGCTGGTGAGATGGCTTAGCAGGTAAAAGTACTTGCCACTTGAGTCTTGGCAATCTTCCTGGAACCCACATGGTAAAAGGAAAGGATAAACTTTACAAAGTTGTCTATCTACATCCATATTAGCACATGTGAGGCCCTCTGTCCACAAAATAACAACATAAAATAAAAAAGGAGATGTATTATATTTGTTATTCCTATACAAAAAAAAGTTGGTAAAAGATTAGAAAAATAAAGGTACAGAAGCTATGAAATGAATTATGGATTTTAAAAACACTTCCTGTGTGTATGTCTGTGCCTGTGTGAGCATATGTGTACTGTGTGTGCATGTGTCTGAGGTCAGAGGCCACTGGATCTTCTGGACCAGGCGTTACCGGCATGTGAGCCACTTGACGTGGGTGCTGAGAACTGACCCCAGGTCTTCTGCACAGGTAGCGATGCTCTTAAATACTGAATCACCTCTCCAACCCCAAACTATGGATTGTTTTGTTTTTTATTTTTCCTGAGACGGTTTCTCTGTGTAGCCCTGGCTCTGTAGACTAGGCTGGCTTTAAACTCAGAGATTCACCTGCCTCTGCCTCCTGAGTGTTGGAAGTAAAGGTGTGTGCCATTAGCACCTCACCCAGGATTATGAATTTTTAAAAAAGATTTATTTTATGTGTATGAGCACTTTTTAATGTATACTTTATATATATGACTGCATGTACACCTGTACGCCAGAAGAGGGCATCTGATCCCAGTATAGATGGCTGTGAGCCACCATGTGGTTGCTGGGACTCAGCACACCTGGAAGAGCACAAAAGTGCTCTTAACCACTGAGCCATCTCTCCAGCCCCAGGATTATTATTAAGGGCAAAAATCACAGTGGGATGGCTTTTTAAGACTCCTTCATGAGGATGCATTAATTCTCTTAGATTGGCTATTTATAAGAAAAATGTCCTTGGTCTCAGCACTAGTTACTTACCACCTGTCTCTGGATGCACAGGAAGTCACAAACGACAAAAGCTATTTTTCAGTCTTTACAGTTGGAATCTATCTACAAAGACACAGAGTTCAACTACAAATCCGTGTGTCAAAATCTGTAAAAGCCATGGCCATTTACATGTTCTAAGGCCAGGGATGCATTGTCATATGTTCTTGCTCTGTTTTGGTTTGTTACACAGTGTCTTCTGATGTCATTTTCAAGACTTGCTTTGTGGTAGTTTGGGCTCTAGTCAAGTACTTGAACTCTTTGGTTCTGGTGATCAAACCCAGAGCTTTCAAAACGCCAAGCAAATACTGCACCACTGAGCTATCCTCTTAGTCCCTGATAAAAGTTTCTATGCAGTAAGACCACATACTTTAAAAAAACTCATCATACATCCTCCCTGCTTTTCTTTCGAAATGCTTCTCCTCCTAGCCACTTCACTATCTCTGCATTGCCATTAAAACTTCTTCTGTCTCCCTTAAAATATGAAATGTGATGCCTGAAGTGAACAGTTTAAGGGGTGATGCAAAAGACAGTCACCTGTATCCTGCACTTCCTACTATTGAACGTTAGGCTAGCATTTTAATTTGTGGCTCACCTCAAACCCAAATACAGTCATCTGATTTGTGGGAAATCAGATGAACATTACTTGAACAAACTGTGGAAAGTCCATGAAAAGCTTCCAGTTAAGCTAGACTCTGTGTGTGTGTGTGTGTGTGTGTGTGTGTTATGTTCATGAGGGTGAGGCCAGATGTAAAGTTGGGTGTTTTCTTCAGTCATTCTCTTATTTTATAAGTTTTAAAATTACATTTAACTAACTAACTAATCAATTTTGTATACATGTGTGGAGGTGAACCCCGGGGGAGTCAGTTCTTCCATTATGTGGATCCTGGGGATCAAACTGAAATCACTGGGCGTGGTGGCAAGCGCCTTACCCACTGAACAACCTTGGTGGCCTTCCTTCTCCCTTATTTTTCTGAGGCACTGAGATTATAGCTTTTTACATGGTTCTGGGGGTCTGAACTCAGGTCCCCATGCTCGCATAGAAAGTACTTTACTGACTGGGGCATCTCTCCAGCAGCTCAACACTAAGGAGGTAAGCCAGGGTTCTGGTTTGGGAGACTGTGAGCTGTGGCATGAGGGCACGCAGAACACACCTCTTTAACAAAGTACTTGGTTTTCCAGGGTGTGCCCGTGTCAGCGCGATGCCTTTCTTCACTTCTCTGGCGCTCTTCCAGGGTACGCTTGTGCTCTGTGGCCTTGTCAATTTCAGATTCTCTCAGGGAGTCCGTTACATTTTTCCATAATCGTCTAAAATTAAAAATGGCCTGCTTTACAAACATTCTTTTAAAAAGCAGTAATTTAAAATTCATAGTAATTTCTGTTGCTTTTTTTTAAAATTTCAGTTTATTTACTTTACATCCCAAGGATGCCCTCCCTCTTCTCCTCCCAGTCCCCAGACCCTGTTCTCCTCCTTCTCATCTCGCTTTCCTCCCAGAAAAAGCAAGTCCCCTCCCTCAGAATCAACCCTCCCCAGCACATCAAGTCACACCCGGATTGAGCATCCCCTGAGGCCAGGCAAGGCATGCTGCCAGGGGGACATGATCCAAAAGCAGGCAATAGAGTCCCTGTTAGAAAGAGGTCCCTACCCCCTGCCCCCCGGCCAGTGACCCACATGAAGACCAAGCCACCCATCAGCCACATCCATCTGTGCAGGGGCCTAGGTCCAGACCATGCATGCTCCTCAGTTGACAGCTCAGACTTTGTAAGCCCCATCATTTCACTTTCTGAGTCAGATCTACACTTCCTGAGTTTCAGAGCACTGACACTCGGATCCTGTTGTTGATGCCCAGACTGTTGCAACTCTTGATGGTTTTTAAATTGAGAAGTTCAATTAAGAAGCTTTTTCTCCAGCTATAAAAACAACTATTTTGTTTTTAGGAAACTTTCCTGAATTAACAAATAACATGAGATATTTGTAGAGTGAAATGCACGAGGCTGAGGCTGCGGCTCAACTGGCAGGGTGCCTGCTGAACACGCATGTGATGGTGCCTTCAGTCCCCAGCTCCACATAAAGCCGGGGGTGAGAGGTGGAAGCATGAGGACAGGACGCTCAGCATCATCCTAGGCCACACAAAGAGCTCATGGCCGGCCTCAGGTACAAGAGCCTTCACACACAAAGAGGAGACAAATAACAACAACAACAAAAGGTAAGATAGAAAAAACATGCTTTGTAGCTGGGCAGTGGTGGTGCATGCCTCTAATCCCAGCAGTCGGGGAGACAGAGGCAGGTGGATCACTGAGTTCCAGGCCATCCAAGGCTTGCTGCAGTGAGACCCTGACTCAAAAAAAAAAAAAAAAAAAAGAGTTGGTAACTGTGAAAGTCCCACTATAGACTGAGATGCAGCGAAGCTTTCCTCCGAAGGACACTACTGACAGAAAGGCTCAAAGACTCCACACAGAAAACCCTTCAGCAGAATTCTGGGAATTACAGTCCAGCAGTGTCTCTTCAATGCCTGGTTTACTAACAGAGCCGGCTATCTGCTGCTATCGTCAGTTCCTGATGGCAGACACTCTAGCCGGAAAAACTGACTTTAGACAGATGGAGTTGCAAAAGAGAATGTTTCAATGAAGTTTACCAATAATGCCCATCTTTGGTATTATGTGGAAACTTAGCCAGGGGTAGCTTGCTTTTTGCATTTATCACTTGGGGAGGGAGTCGCCCTGTGCACTGTGGAGGGCAGAGGGCTACCCCATGGAGTTGCTGCCTTCTACCTTTCACAAGTTCAGAGGAACAAATTTGCTGCCAGCCATGTGTGTCAAGTGCCCTTCCTTTTAGAGCCCTCTCACAAGCCAGGCATCTGGTAGTTTTCATGTAGGAGATAAAAAACTTGTCAATTTTTTTTTGTTTTCCCACTGAAGTTACTATATAGCATAAAATGCCATCCTGACCAGGGCTTTTAGGGTTCAGTCAGGCAGACCAACCCTTTCATTTGACAGATGGCAAGGCTCATATAAACTGTAAAGAGACTCAGTGCAGTGGCTTAGCTAGACTCCAGGGCTCCCGACCTTCCTGACTGGAGGTGAGGGAACGTACCTGGACTCGAATGGACCCTGCCGCTCCAGAGGCCGCACCCTCTTCTTTGTCACGGGCAGTTTAGTCAGGTCCACATACTTGGTGTCCCCATTGCTGTAGGCGAACTCGAGCACGCTGTTCCACTCCCCCTGCACCCTGCACACCACAGTGTTGGTAACGTTGTGCTTCACTTCGGCTGTGACTCTAGACCAGTGGGAAGCAAAGGTTTCTTTAGAAGGCGGAAGCCCAACGGCACATCTTGAAATGCCACTTTACAGAGCACATTTCAACGTGTCAGTACCCAAGTCTGGGGAAAACCAATCCTGTGCTAGATAACTGCTCATATGCATCAGTTTTATTCTTCAGAAAGAATACTGGGCATCAGACTGGACTTCATTAGCCTAAGTGGAAAATTACGTCTAACATGTTTATTATAGTCTACAAATGACAGCACTACAACCTAGATCTCTTCACTAGTCCCATCTACCTAACACATCTGCAGTTCTAGAGATCAAGCACCCAATGTTCATTCATTCATTCATTCATTCATTCATTCATTCATTCATTCATTCGTTTCCCCTTAGACAGCTCTCACTATATATAGCTCTGGCTGTCCTGGAACTTATTCTATAGACTAGGCTGGCCTTGAACTCAGAGATGCACCTGCTTCTGCCTTCTGTGTCCAGAGATTAAAGGCCTGAGAAGAAACCTTTAAGTCACCATGCCTAGCCCAAAAAGCATAATTCAATACAAAATCCAGACAAGTCATTAAGACTTAGAGAAACATGAAATATAATCAAGATGGTAAGTTCCCTGGCTAAAACAGAGACACGAGGAATAAGCATGAACAGAGCCACCTGGCTGTCAACACACAACTCAGCTCAGGTAGAAGGCACAAAGAGGACTGGTTCAATCGTTTTAATGAAGTTCATGTTTCCTGCAGGACTCAGATGAGACAGGGTCAAAACTCAGGGACTAGCAGGCAAAGGTCAAAGGTTGAAGTCTAATGAGTGTTCAGAGACTGTGATTTATTTAGGTTCAGGAGAGAACTTGGAGGACCCGAGGCAGCACAAGGAATTAGGTCCATTGGTCATGTGAACACAAGGCCAGAAACCGGAAAGGGAGTAACTGAGCTGCACACTGAGAGCTCGCAGCAGGTGGTCACAGCAGACAGGCGGCCAGTCACAAAGGAACTGTGGGCCAGATCTTGGGGACCAACGTGTGTGAGGGTTTGGAGTGAAGAGCAAACATTCAAAATGTCAAGTTGGAAGTAACCGCCAACTGTGTTTCACTGGACACAAAGAATGCCGCCACAGGTCCGCTTGGTTATAGGGGTAGGAACTCTAGGCTGTATTCCAAACCATATGAACAAACAGAATTGTATTAGGAAGGACTTCTTAGAGGTCAAACTGATTATGATTATTTAGTTTTTCCAGACTAGGGTTTCTCTGTGTAGCCTTGGCTGTCCTGGAATCACTCTGTAGGCCAGGCTGGCCTCAAACTCAAAGAGATCTGCCTGCCTCTGTCTCCCCAAGTGCTGGGATTAAAGGCATGTGCTACCACCACCTGGCCCAGAATCAATCAATCATTCATTCAATCAATCAATCAATCAATCAATCAATCAAACTATCAATCTAGCTTTCTTTCTTTTTCTTAAGATTCATTTATTTATTATGTATGCAACATTCTGCCTGCATGTACACCTGTATGTCAGAAGAGGGCACCAGATCTCATTATAGATGGTTGTGAACCACCATGTGGTTGCTGGGAATGAACTCAGGACCTCTGGAAGAGCAGCCAGAGCTCTTAACCTCTAAACCACCTCTCCAGCCCCTCCAGAATGTTTCTTAAGAGATTATTTCATTACTATTAATTTTTTTCTAGATTATTTTATTTTATGTGTATGGATGTTTTGTATGAATATATGTATGAGTACCATATACAAGCCTGGTGCCACCAGAGGTCAGAAGAGGGTATTGGATCCCCTGGAACTAAAGTTACAGACAGTGGTGAGCCTCTTTGTTGGTGGTAAGAGCTGACCCTGAGTCCTCTGCAAGAACAGTGAGTGCTCTTAACCACCGAGCCATCTTTGCAGCTCCCATGTTTTTTCTCTGATCCCACTTGTGATACCTTCCTTTTCTTGAGGATTCAGCTCTAGCCACATAAGATGAGAAGAGATGATGCTGTTCTTCCCATTCTCTAGACACAAAGACCAGAACTACAGTCTGAGGACTAAGGAGTGACTAGTCCTCTTAGTTTTTCTTCTGTAGTCCAGTTTCTTATTATGTTGCCCAGGCCGGTCTCAAACACACAGGCCCGAGACTTTTACTGCCATACACAATCTTTGATGTTATAGCTACCTTCCACAAGCTTTTCTACTCATCAAATAGCCTCCCCAGGTTCCTGCCCACAAATATTAAATAATATAGTACTCTTACGACGATCTTTTACAACAGTTTAATGTGACATTAGCATACATTCACATGAAAATACAGACAGAAAGTTCTCAGCCAGACCATCTCTCCATACTTACTTTCACTTGGTGACTAGAGTATGAAGGCAGCCAGAGAAGATAAGGAGATGAAAGGACATAACTGTGTTCTGATCCACACATCTCTAGTCTAATTTAAGAATGTCTACACTATCCTTTCACCTAACTCACTGTTCATGTCAACATGGCTACCTCTGACACCCTGCCTTCTGGGCACATACATCTCATCCTTATGACTTAACTAAAGAGATGCCTTTCTTTTTGCTTTGGCTTTGTGAGGCAGGCTCTCACATAGCACAGGATTGCTTAAACTCACTGTCTTAGTGACTGCCTTGAAACCCTCCCTCCTTTTTTAAAGAATTTTTTTAGAACTCTATCTACTCTCATCTATCTTTCTATCTTTCTTTCTATCTATCTATCTATCTATCTATCTATCTATCTATCTATCTATCT